TCCCTCAGATAAACCAATTGCCACTGTCACAACAAAGTTCAACATATTTTATATTTTTCCTTATTTTCTTTTTTCGTTTTTTCTTTTTTCTGAATATTTTTCTTTTTTTCTTTTTTTCTTTTTTTCTTTTCATGTTCCAAGTATCGAAAGCTTTATATGTCCTATAATCAGTGTTGCTCCCGACCTGCTTGATTCTATTGAGACCAGTTAGGAAGAGGACCCCCCACCCCGGCAGATAGGACAGGCACGCTGAGGGTAGCGTGAATGTTCACAAGGATACCCAAGGAGAGCTGCACCAGCACAGCATTCAGCAGGACGGCTAGCACGGACCACACATCGCCCAACTGGGCATGTATAACACACACACACACACACACACACACACACACGCACACACACACACACACACACAAGCACACCCCCCCCCACACACACAATCGATGTTATGCGTGCACACACACACACACACACACACACAACACACAAGCACGCACCCACACACACAATCAGTTTCATGGATGTCTTTCTATTTTTGTAGGCCTTTTTTCCTTCTTTTTTTTTTTCTGTCAGTCCCCCTCGTATTTTTTCTAACTTCCAGCTGAGCACCTCTAAGTGGTGCCAAATAGTCGGTCATTCCTCGTTTGGAGTGTCTGCCGCAATGACAGGGGGACCGTCCAGTTCAGGATGTCTGCGTTTCCAGCAGATGACGACGGATGTTCATCTGAGTGACTTCCTGGCTCAGCGGGTGGTGGGAACCAACAGTCTGCAGGATTCACTTGTGCTGTGAGTAGGTGATGTGCCGCTTGGCTCCATTTTGGATGTGTAGACTGCCTCGTCTGCACTCTGCTGCAGCCCGCCCTGCTGCCCTCCCTGCTTGCCTCACATGTCGGACTTTGCAAGCTGCTGTGTTCACTGTGTGATGTGGCTGTGGTGTTGGTGTTGCCTTGTGCCTCGCTGCTCTGATGCCTTGCCGCCCATCCGCATGCCGTGCCTTCCGTGTCCTTCACTTGTGTGCCACGTATTTTGGCTGCCTTGTTGGTTTTGCCATGTGCTTCACTACGCGGCTGCCGTGCTGCTCATCCACTTGCTCTGTCGTTCCTTGCAGTTGTTTTTCGCATTGTGCAGTCGTGGTGCCTTGCCAGAGTTGGCTGGTGCTTCGCTGAGTTGCTGCCCGCTGCTGTGTTCCGTCTGTGGGCAGTCTGCTTTCAACAAGGGTCAAAGGGTTCATGCCCCAAACCATGAATACAGGGATTCCGCAGATTATAAAGGGTTCAACCTCCTGATGAGTCGAAAATTCAGCCTCCTGATGAGTCTGTGCAACCCCGACGAAACAGTCTATCTTCTCCGCATATGGGGGACAGCCACTTTTTTCTTTTTAACTATGCTATCACCTTCTCTCAGTATTGTATCCCCAGTTTCTATTGCTTTACTTTTTCTTTTCTTTTTTCAAATCTTGCAAATGACCATGCTAATCTTCTTTCTCTGTATCATTCCAATTTCAACCGATGTCCCAAAGGACTATTTCAGTATTTCTTTAATTTTTATGTTTTTCGCTTGCTGTTTTTTGGTACTTGTACTTTTCTTGTCTTCAGGTTGGTGTCCTTGGCCTGCGTTGCGCTTGTACGTTGTCTGGTTGGTTCAACAGTTCAGTGATACTGTCGTTCCCCTATTTCAACAGTTCGATGAACAGAATAAAATAATTCCAAATAATAATAATAATACTATAATAGTAATAATAATAACAAATGGTAGGACTTAAATCATCGGCAGCACATGCCTGCAGTGCGGTCACCTCGCCTTGTGGCAGGCACTTGCACACCATTTCAACTGTTGAAACGCAGACTCGAGTTCGAATTCAGATGCAATCAGGTGAACAGAACAGAATAATTTCACCCAAAAAAAGGGAGGAGGACTCACATCTTCATCAAATGCCTGCAGTACGGCCACCTCGCCTTGTGGCAGGCACTTGTACACTGTAACCTGCACGCCAAGACACACAAATAATCCCACCAGTTCACCATCCGAGTGGACAAACTGATCGACGTAATGTATCTCCTCCATAGATTGCCCCTCTTCTTTTTTTCTTTATTGTTGTTATTATTATTATTATTATTACCCCTGTCCTACACAGATTACCACCCCAAATAGATTTTTTATCTGCAAGGAACATGAGTATGGACGAAGCACAGAAATCCAGAATGCAAAATCACACTGGTCCAAGTATTCAAAGCCAAAGCAGATAGCACATGGAACCGAGTAACCATCCCATTGAGAATGATACAGAAGAATCGTGAGTCAATGTCCATGCCCAACAGGGCAACACCAACAGCATAACCCAAATGTAGTAACCATCCCATTGAGAATGATACAGAAGAATCGTGAGTCAATGTCCATGCCCAACAGGGCAACACCAACAGCATAACCCAAATGTAGCTCTCTCTTGTGAATGGCGCCAGGCGCCCTATCTACCCTACAGCCTATCCTACAACTACAGCAATGAGCAGCAACCAGACAACTTGACTACCAGCGAGTAATGATGTCAACACCAATGCCGTATTCACCATCACCAGGTACGTGTCATCTTCCCCACACTCTCCCTTGTTACCCACACAGCGCCCTTCACCTCCGAAGTACCACCTTCGCCCTCACCTCCCCTGCACCCTCTTGCGGCCCGGCTATGGCCGCCAGTGCCCTGCATGCAGACAGCGCCCTACCGCCTAGCGCTGGCCTACTCTGTCTTAGCGCTGCGCTGCTCTGCATAGCGCTGCACACTTGCATCCGCCGCAGCGTGCCCGCATATGCCAGCATTGGCCAAGATTCCCGCTGCCTCGCCCTGCTTGCCTATATGCCAGTGCAGTGTGTGGGCGGCCTCCCTTCAGCCTGTGACCGGGGCCCAGAGGCTGAAGCCCACTCGATACAGTTGGACCCCGGGGTAAGGCAGTTGCGCCTCCTTCATCAAGGCCTGCGGCCAGATTCAGACAGTGGGCCGAT